CCCTCCCAAACTGAACTAATGTTTAGAGGGCTGTAGTAAATAGTAAGAGAGTAGACACGTGTACTACAGTACTCAGAATACAGTATGAAGGAGAGTTGAAGTGAAGCCAAAGTAGAAATCAAATCTGGTTGCGGTTGAGGGTTTGAATCTTTATTGCCCGTTGGTGGTCGACCACAGTGAGACCCAGTGATTCACCTCCAGACCTGGGAACTGGACTAGAACCTGGAAGGATCCGATCGTTTGTTTATATTTGAATACATATATTTTTTCCCACTAAATGAAGTGTAAATTATGACGGGACATTTGAGCAACAATAGGAAAAAAACAAGACAAAAAAAGAGGAGAATAAAACCACAGGTTGATGGAATAAAAAGTCACATTTTTCAGAGAATAAATTGACAATGATTTGTTTAAATCTTTCCCATCTTTTTATGTTCATAATAACCAAATATAGCACGCAAGCTAAAGGTTAGCCAAGAAGACGTTTACTCCAACTGTCTGATATAAACTGGATATAAACTCAGGTTTAAAACTCAACGCTAACACACCGTGATACGACTGTCCTGGAAATGAAGAAGAACCAAAGACAAACTGAACTAAAAAGACTGAAAACGTTAGCGCTTCTCTCTCTGCTGCGTCTCCTCCGTCTCCAGATCCTCCTCCTGTCACCGATGAAAACAAATCGATGAAAACAAATCGATAAAAACAACTGACAGCATCGATCGACAACAGTTAAACTCTCTTCTTCTCTTCTGTCTCTCAGGAGAAGAGAAAACGACAAGCAGAGATCGAAGGCAAACGGAGTCAACTGGACGATCTGGTGCTACAGCTACAACACCTGAAGGTTAGTCACCGTCACCGTCACCGTCACCGACACCGTCTGTGAATCAGAGGACGAGGAGGTCGTGTTCTGCTGCTGTTGTTGTTAGTGTTGTGTCTAAATCTCAGTCATTTATAATTCAAGACAAATTTAATTTATACAGTTACAGTAGCTAACGTTAGTTCTGGTGTCTGTACCAGGACTGTTGTAGCTAACGTTAGCTCTGGTGTCTGTACCAGGACTGTTGTAGCTAACGTTAGCTCTGGTGTCTGTACCAGGACTGTTGTAGCTAACGTTAGCTCTGGTGTCTGTACCAGGACTGTTGTAGCTAACGTTAGCTCTGGTGTCTG